TGAATGAAGACGATTTTGATCGGCGATAACAAGTTTGTGAAGATATGAGTGAACCAATTATAACGGGTGAAAATTTTCTATTCAACACTTGCTTTTCCGACGAATGTTCATTTTTCTCAAATGGCGTAGTAAATCATCATAACTGCCGATATTGGTCCGATTCTAATCCCAGAATTTATCATGAGGTTCATACACACCAGCCACAAAAATTAAATGTTTGGGCTGGTATTTTTGGCGATCATTTAGTTGGTCCTTTTTTCTTACCTTGAAATTTGACCGGTGAAATGTATTGGAATTACTGGAAGACGCCATAGATCCTGCATTAACAGCCATAATTGAAAATCAGAATGATCGGCGCTACATTGCAAATAGGTTGATGTTCCAACAGGATGATGCCCCACCACATTACGCATTACGTATTCGACAATATTTAGATCACACGTTTCCAGATCGACGGATTGGTAGAAGAGGTGCCATTGAATGGCCCCCAAGATCGCCAGATTTATCACCATTGGATTTCTTTATGTGGGGTCATTTAAAAAGCAAAATCAATGCTACTCAGCCAACATCATTAGAAGACCTGCGACAAAGAATTGTGAATGAGAGCCTTCAAAATACTCCTCAAATATTGCAAAATGTGCGGCAACGTTTTGACCAAAATTGCATGGAGAGTCATGGTGGCTATTTTCAACATTTACTTGCCTAACGGGTCAATTCATTCTTCATTTTTAAATTACTTTGCTGCCAAATGTATTGGTCTCCACTAATGATGATGTATTAGTTTTATTTAAGCTTTAAATCAACAAATCTTCAAAACTACTGAACTGAAGTACATTAATTTTATATCATTATAAAGGGAATAAAAAGACCTTTAAAATAAGGTATTACTGGCTCCCCTTTCCATTTAAGATTTTGGGGGTGGTGTCACCCCAGCTTAGGGGGCTGCACGTGCTAACGTCATTTTTTGCCAAACTTGTGTCCCCCTCGAAAACAAAATCGACGGGTCTGAGAGTTTTAAAAAAAACTGAGCTGCCAGTAAATGCATCTGTTTCGTTTTTTATGCGCCACCCTGTATATAAAATTGTTTACTTTATTTGGATTAAAAAAATGCCGATTGACACAAATCGTCATATGAGATGTAGTTATGACGCTATTTCTTTACTGTGCTTCTCTTATTGAGCCCTTTTATTTCATAACCATATCATAGTACTGACCATGACAATTATAGATCGCCATTACGTGATGGTGGCCACCATGTTGGTTTCAGAATGACGTCACTTATCGAGCCCTTTTATTTGATGGCGGATGATTATGAAAAACGTAACTCGCCATTTTAGTGCGAGCGCAAAATTGGATTTGGAATGACGTCACTTTGCTTATTGTGTTTCCCTCATCAAGGTCTTTCATTTGATACCCATGTCATACGGGTGACTATAAAAAAAGTAAATCACCCTTTTAAGTGCTTGCTAAATCGCCGTTTTGTAGCAACCGCTAAATTGGATTCCAAAGGGCGGTAGATAATTCTTCTTGTACTGTCACGCAAGCCAAACGTGTTTACAAAATTTCAGCACAATTGTTTATTTAAGGTTAAATCGTAACAAATAAACAGTTCAAGTAATTAAAAGCTGTAAAAACGTTCGAGTCATAATAAAATTTACATGTATAGTAGCCAGGTACGCGCTTCCAATTATTGGCCCTCAAAAAATATCATTTATTGCTGGCGAACAAACCTTTGAAAATATCCACCCAGTTTGCGTAACAGAATTCCAGCGAATACTCGTAACTCTTACCCATGAAAAAACATGAGGACCATAATCAAAGTATACAAACAAGTAGTAGAATAACTTTGCAGTCAAAATCAGTTTCTTTCTCTGCTCGACCACGAAACAGTTAGCAGGTAGTCAGGGCAAGCATATACTGTATTCCGACATCGAAAAAGGGATCTGAGAGATACTAGCGTCATGTAATTAGAAATCAACTATGAAAATAACATAGGCACTAAAGAGGCCAAAGAGTGATTGAAGATGCTGGCGCTATCTATGAGACAGTATCAAAAACAGAACACTGTTCCTCTTTTCAAAACAAATTCCTAATTTGTGTGTTCTGCAACTGCCTGATAGATGGCGCTGGTACCTTTCAGTTAACTTTTTGGATAGAATACGTTAATCATACCATTGATAGTGAGGATATCTAGAATTTGAGAGAAAATAATTGTGATGAGCTAATTTACAATGGAATTATATTCTTGAGTGATGCAGAGAATTTAGCAGGCTAACTTTTTTATTAAGCGTCAATGTTGGAAAAACTACTGTTTGGAGTATATTCAAATAGTTAAACTATTGGTGCAAGTGGTCAAAAAAAAGTTGTTGGAGATGAAGATACACGGCTAATTTGCCTAAACGGTATTTGATACCATTTTTTTCAGAAAAATTGCATGTCTTGACAAGCTGTCCAGAGACTTTGCTTCATTTAATTTTAATTTATTTTAATCTCTTAATAACCATGTAAAAAAGGCTTACTGAGAGTTCAGTTATTTTTGCCTTATAGGCAGTTAAAATAATTTCGATGAAAAATAAACACTTTGAAGAGCGGTACTTCTTGGACACATGGGTGCCCAAATACCATTTTTCCTCAAAGAATCCACCGTAACGTTAGTCATCAACATTAAGGGTTGGAATTAAGCCCACGTATAAAAAGGATTTAAAACTTATTAAGCCGTCTACGAAGAACTATATAGCTTTATATTGCGACTTCATATACCTACCTTACAAGAGTGAGACATTCCACGGCGAATCTAAATGACGACTTTATTTTTCGAAGCAGTAGGTTATGTTCGGCTTTCGTATGCAAAAATGTTCTTTTTCAGACTTTATATTCAAGATTCACATTGTAGTATTTCATGAAATCTGAAAAAATCATCTACGTTTGCAGCACTATCGGAGTAATTCTAATTTATTTACACAAAATTAATTGAATGGCACTTTGTGTGCCATACATTGCGGTACAAGATGTGCGATAGCCACATTTATCAAGGCGCCTGACTGCTCCTGACTGATAGTTGGTGCTCGTGAATGGAAACATCGTTCGGCCCTTGCTTTAGATTTCTACTCCTTTTCTACTTTTTTCAATGTTTTTCGGCCTCCAAAGGGTTTTCGTAGTGTGTATTTTTCATCTGCTTTTCAGTAGTGGGCATTCGAATAGTGACAATAGTCTAATCATATTATTAAATTTGCCAGAAATAATTGTGAAGTCTGGTTTTATTGGTGCAAGTTGTTAGGGGAAGGTCGGGTAAAGTGGTTACCCTAAGCCTTGAACGCATGCCAAACAAATAAATGTGAACCTTTTTCAAATCAAATTCATTATATTTTCCCACTAGCTAATATAGGTTCGATATTACATAGCTTTTAAACGATTGTTCTGATAATTTAAGCGTAATTTAATATTTAAGCCGAAATGGGATGTTGACCACTTTACCTATCCTGGTCGGGTAAATTGGCCCATACAAATTCATAATCGGGTAAAGTGGCCTACTTCAAATAAAATGATAATAAAATAAAGTTTTATTCAAATTTTGCATAGAAAAAATATTTATTGTAAGCAACAACACTATCACAATTGTTCAGGTAATTGTTTATAACTCAAAGTCTTTTGATTGTTTATACTTATAAAATTATTAAATAAATGTAACTTTCCTTCATTTAATGACAAACTAAATAAAGTTTTAATTACTAAACTATGAAATGCAAATAACAAACTCTTCATTATTCATTAACATTCAATAAAAAGAAAATATTCTCACGAACAGAATTCGCAATGAAAGACATCATCGGCGTCATCACAACCCGAGCATGCTTCATGGGCCCATCGCTTGCAGCTAGAGCACTGTATCCAGCCATCTTCATGTTTTGATTTAGACCAAACTTCCCCACAGTAAAAGCATTCAGGGTCATCATCGGCCTCATCATCAGTATCGTCACTTTTCTTAGTTTTAGCATTGTTTGTATTTTTACCACGTTTTTTAACGTTGGTTTCAGCTTTAAGTTTTTTCCCAGTTTTAGTTGGTTCAAAAATAGCTTTAGTCACTCTCTTCAGTTCTTTTTTTGTTGTTGCTGTGTTTTTTCTTCCTGTAACTCATTTTTATAAGGACTACTCGTTAAAATTGCTCTTTCTATTTATTTTTCTAATTTTAGCCAATGCTTTGGGAATCGGAAATAAGTCTTCAGGCGCTACCGCGAAGGATGTGCTGGGTTGTAGGTCTATGTAAGGGTTCAATATTGGCGAAGTAACTGGTAGCGTTACATTAGTATTTTCTTCCTGATCCAATGTTGGTGGCGTAACTTGTAGAATAGATGGAGACTCTACTCTTTCAGGTGTTTCATTCTCATTATTAGCTTCATTTTGTTGTAGTTCCTGCTCAAGAAGAATGTTATCTGTTGTGTCTGCTGGCACAAAATCATAATCTTTGAATACGTGGCGATCCATTGGTTCTACCCCACATTTACGAAATCCATTGATTGCAATGGATTGTTGTGCTGCCTCGCTGTATGCTTCGCCAAAAAGTTTGCTGAATTGGAACACAGTCAAGGCTCTTCCTGGGTTATTGCGAAGATACTTCTCAACTGCACGGATGTAATACTTATTCAAAGGACCCATAAAAGACACGTCCAAAGGTTGCAGTCTATGACTGCAGTGTGGAGGCAGACACAAGAGGGTCGTGTGATTTCTTCGTGCCATATCAATGAAATCCAAATTCTTGGTATGTGAATTGTGTCCATCCAAAATTAGCAGTGCTGGATCATCTTCAGTCGGCTTGGAAAATTTAAGAAAATGCTTAAACCATGCCGTAAAAATGTCCAACTGCATCCACCCTGACGAATGACACGCAAAACCAGTTCCTGGCGGTGCCCCATCTTGAAGTTCAACCTTCATTCTCTTCCGGGGAAAGATAATAAAAGGTGGAATGAAGTTACCGCCAGCGGCCATACAAATTACAACGGTGCTTAATACACCTCATCATCATCCACATTGAAAATGCGATGAGGTGGATAGTTTGTTTTAGACCTTACTTCTTCTAGAAGGTCAAAATATTTCGTGACACTTACTTTGTTGAAACCTTGTGCTCGGGCAAGAGAAGTTGCTTCTGGGCTTCTCAGTGTCAGTTCTGGATGACGCTTTCTAAAATCAGAAGCCCATGCTTTTCCAGCCATTTGAGTGTCTTTATTGAAGTTGTGTTTTATATTGTTGCGTTCAGCTAGTTGAAAGGCTAATTTCCTTACATCCCGCAATGTTAATCCGTAGAAACGATTCTCAAGTTCCAAAATGTATTGTACTAATTGTGCCTCTTGTACCGGACTAAAAATTGGACGTCGTGACCCCAGTATTTTAACATTTTCAACAGCATGTTTGTTTTTTCCTTATACACGCCGTTTAAGCGTTGATCGGGGAACACCGAAGACTGTGCTAGCTTTAAGAAAGCCCATTTCCCCATTTCGTACAGCTCTAATAGCTTTTTCCATCGCTTCCGAATCCCATGTCTGCTGCTGCGTCGTCCGTGTATATCTAGTTGGCATATCTAAAATAACACAAACCATTATATGGTTGCAGGAAAAAACACTAAAAAGGTAAAGTGGCCTACCGGGTCACTTTACCTTACCGATTTGGTAGGCCACTTTACCCGAATTGGCATGCGGCGAAGAAAAAAATAATTCAAATAACAAATGAGGTTATATTGACCTACTTTGCGGTGGAATGAATTGCTCATTTCATACACTAAACCAATAAAATCGTACATTGTTTCTCTGTGAATCTGATGACAATATATTTTTACTATGTTTAAACCACTCACCTTAGATCAAAGACCACTAAAATATATTTTTTCACAATAAAATCCTAAGACAAGCACTGATCCAGTTGATGGTCACGGAAGCAATATGGCGTCAACCAATGATATTATTCCCATATCCCGTAATAGATGGCGCTTAATGGTTCGTTTTTAAAATGAAGGTGGCCACTTTACCTGCCTGGGTCACTTTACCCGACCTTCCCCTAATGGGGTATTTAAAACATGGTCGCATAAAATATGCACACCAATTTTTGTGGATAAACTTTTTATTTGACAACAAAGGATGAGAAAACGTGTTTTTTGGGATTCAATCGAAAGTGTTGACTGAAATAAAAAAAAGTAGTGATGACCGGAAAACAGGTGTTTTGGGATAAATAATTAGAAATTCTCAAAAACTACTTAACCAATCTACTCCAATTTTGATGTGGTTATTTGGAAGTACGAATCCTACGAATATGAAGAATTTTAAATATCTGCGAGAAACCATCGTCGCATTACCAACAAGTGCAGAAACCTGCAGTTTGCCTCGGTTTTCGGAAATAACCTTTATGCTATTAGTCGGATATTTTGACGTGTGGTCTCATTTTGTAGATCTCTTAAATACCTAAATCTCTTATGGAAAGAGTTTTTTCGTTCCTGCCAACACTTTCGATTTGATGCCAAAAACCACGTTTTCTCATTCTTTGTTGTCAAATAAAAAGATTTCCCACAAAAATTGGTGTACCCATTTTATGCGTTCATGTTTTAAATACCTCCTTGAACAACTTGCAGCAATAAAACCAGACTTTACAATTATTTCGCAAACCAGCAGTATTATCGTCTAATATGGTTAGACTAAAAACATCGGACTAATTCTAATTGTTTATAAGTCAAAAATAAATGTACTAGTGACGACGCTTTTTTACATGGTTTATATAAAACTATCTGGTATCTATTCCAATCCGATATTAACCTAAGACTAGCAAGAAAACTGAGCCCCGTATAAGGTGATTAGACATTCAAAGTCGCTGGGCAGCTGTTCAAAGAGGCCATTTTTCTGAAAGAAATTAGTAACAATTATAAAATACCAGAAATGGTTGAGCATTTATAAATTAAATTTCTTGACGATGTTGAGCACCACAAAAGCATCTACTTTTAATTGTTATTCAAGGTTAACCGTCATGCGTTTTCTACTAAAAAATAACGTAAAAGTCGACGATTTCTGGTTTTTTTGTAATAAAAAATTAATAGTTAATTTTTGTTGGACCACTCATACCAGTAATTCATAACTATTTGAATATACGGAGCTTTGTTATATACCCTCAAGAATATAACGTAATGCCGCTGTAAAAACGCTTATTACAATTTTTCTGAAACAGAGTCTATTTTTGGCTAGTCAGCTAGTGAATGTTTTGCGTTTGACAGCAAGGTGTGCTGTTGGTGATTTTACTTTTTGTAATCTGTACACTTTGGTGGCAATCCATATTTCACTTGTAATTAGTGCTTCATTTTCGCCCAACCGGGAGTAGTTATCCATCCAAATGAGCGCAAACAACGGGAATTCCATGTTCGTGAATTTTTTACATATATGAGAATAATACATTTGGCTATGTTTTCGTTTATCGCAAGGATTTATATTGTGAAAGGGTCTTAAATACGAACACCCACCTACATTATTTATACGCCGGTAACACGATATTTAAGTCACGTCATTGTTACCCATTTTTTAGTCTACGGAATAGCATTTATATGCGCCACACATGTTATGGCGACACTGTTGCCAAGAGAAGCAACACAGACGTTTAAAAGAGCAACTAGAACGTAACAGAATCGTTTTCTCTATTTGAAAGTTGCGCTTAGAATACCTTACGCAGCTAATCCTTGTTTTTTGCTCTTGTGCTGGAAAAATATATTCATTTGTATATTGGATAAATCCCCTGTATATTAATGCACCTTTTACTTGTAGACGCATTTTTTACAGCGAAGCAGCTGCAGAAGCCTAAATGCCAGGGCATCGCGGTTGCTATGAGGATCCCACTCCGATTTTTGATACGCCTAAGGTCAGCATAACAGTGCAAAGCCTCCTCTTGTAGATTGTTCCACAATCTCGACACCCTAGGGACAAAGGAGAGATCGTATCAATCAGTTCTGGATGTACAAACTTCGACACGGTTAGGATGAGAGGCCGAAGTCAGGCGGGTCTGTTTGGCAGGCACATTATGCAGTTGTGTCATGGAGACAAGCTCTGAAAAGCAGAACCTGTTGGCGTAGCGATAGAAGAGTGTCTGCTAGATAAGAGTGATCGATCAGTCGGTCAGCACTTCTCTGAACAGCATCGAGCATGAATAATGTATAGACGGGGCGGCAGCACCCCAAACGTGTGAGCAATACTCGAGGCTAGGTCTTACCTAAGCCTTATATAGAGTGTGAGGAGGTCATGTAGAGAAAGGTACTTCTTAGCCCTAAACAAATAGCCTAGCCTAGCTTTTTCCCAGCAGCTGCTGTTACTGGCGAGATGTGTTCGTGCCAGATCAAGTACTCGGTGAGCCAGTCGAAATGAACGGCTCTTTGGTAGTGATAACCTCCAGGTTCCTCGTCAGGGAGGATGTCTCTTTCCAGCAAAGATAGTTTTGTCGCTCTGAATTCCTGCATGTACAGTATTGTGATCAGCAAAGCTGTGGATTGGATTGATCGTACAGGAAAGGAAGTCGTTGATATGTAAGAGGAACAGTGTCGGAGCCAAGACCGATCCCTGGGGAACACCCGCGTTGACGTTGTGGGATGAAAAGGAGAACCCTTCAATCACGACGTATATCCTGCGGCCAGAGAAAAAGTCAACCACAATCTGCAGAGCTTCTCTAGGAGGTCATAGACGGAAGTCTGCATAAGAAGGTAGCGTGCCACAGCTGACCGAATGTTGTGAGATGCAAGCTTGGAGGTCCCCTGTGGATAGCTGGTACCAGAAACCATACTGCCTGTCGCTAATCTAGCGAGGTATCCTGACATAACAGAAAGCAGAGCTATAGACCTGTAGTTGTAAGGGTCGGTCTTAGATCCTTTTTTTGGGATGGGTTGGACATCAGCAAATTTCCAGTTTTGTGGGAAGGTGCCGAATTCGTAGATATCTGGAACAGATAGACAATACAAAGGCAGGAATCAAATCTAGACGAGAGACATTAAACAACGTTAAACAAACTTTACTTACATGAACTACAAGCAATTAAAAAACAAGGTAAACAATGATGATAGCTTTGGGCTTCTGTTAACGGACATTTGAAGATCACTTAGAAAGTTTGCAAACATTACGATTACCGTTTTTCCATATTGTCTTTTGGGGTCGAAACTAGAGCTGCTGCGGTATCAGCGTCTCAGAAATATTAAGACTCAGTTGTTACTTCTTAGGCACAGTTTTGTTCATTTTGTTGGACTGTGCTATCTTCCCACCGCAAGCCTCTGCTAGAGTTTGCTCTACATTTGTTTGGTGTCCCACCTAGACCATACTGACGATTGCCGATCTGTCAAATGTGTGGTGCACAATTCCGTTTACTACATTGACAATAACACTTGCGGAGACCTTCAACAATAGTGAAACGATACTAAAGGAATAAATCTGCCCCCGATGAGGTCTGCAGCTAGTTCGCAGATCTCATTATCTGTTCTGCGTACGTTATCAGTGCATGTTAAGAGCAGTTATACGTTAAGGCTAATGCGAACAGTCGTGTATGAAGCTCTCGCGTGATTCAGGACGATATGTTTGTGGATATTGCACGCCGGGGTGGGGATTTGCCCCCTTTTGGATCCAGTTACATTGGAGGAGAAACGTATGTGTGCACGTTAATATTCAGGGGATGCAAATTAGACTGCTCACCTGCGAACGTGGAGCATCTCATTATTAGGGTTGTATGGGATATGTTGCTAGATGTAAAATGATTCCTTTGAAGTGATTCAAACATCAAGGCTGTTTTATTAATCGGCATGAGGAAAAATCTGATTTTGTATTTTTGTATTTAAGTAGTGTCATAGGTGTTTATAACAATGAGTAGCTATTCCAAGAGAAGAGAGTTAAGCAAGTCCAAAAACTTAGAAAGAGAGATGCACTGGTGAAAGAAAAAACACGGCGTTCACAAAATAGTTAATGGTGTTTAACCACGGATTGTTGAGATTTGACACTTCACAGTCTACGAAATACATTTTTAATTTATTGTGTACATTATACGGCAGGAAATATCCATACGTGTCAATACAGAGCAATTACAAAGGATAGCCGTCATTCTAAAATTTGCCATGTTAATCAACAGTAAATAGCATTTTTATAAGCTTAATTAGTTACTGGATCTGATATGGTGTACACATTGAAGCAAATACGATCATTAGAATCCGTAATGA